ACAGAGACCCAACAGTTCCCCACCATGAGCAAGCACTTGGACACAAGAAAGCTTGTTCATGATAGCTGAAGGACAGACTGGATTCATAAGGAGCTGCAAGGACTTTGAGTCCTGGTTCATAAAGCCCTCTATAACCCACAATAAAGTGATTTCATCATCAGTCCATGAATCAGACTCAACAGGAAGTGAACACATCATGTGATCTCTGATGATACTAAGGTTAAATACATGGATGATTTAGAGCAGAGGAGGCTGAAGCTGTTTATAATCAAATAATCCACACACACACACACACACACACACACACAGACACTCTTGATCTCTTTTAATCTGTGGCTCTGCAGAGGAGTTAATACGGCTCTCTGTGAACCATAAACATATTTCAGGATCATTTATAGGTTAATGTCTGCTGCAAATAGAGTGGGTGAGGAGGGGTGAGGAGAGGGAGTAAACAGGTTTATATAAACTGGAGACATCATTCATCATTGAGTTCACAGCTTTAAATATTATTCACACGTTTTCATTTTATCCTGGAGAAAAACTGGTTACTAAACTTAAGTTCTTTAGTTAAGCTGTTACCTAATTTTAAGTGTTTGGGTGTCAGGTGTGTTCAGATGTGGTCAGATGCATTGTCACCTGTCTTTGGCTCCACAGAGAAGTATGGCTGACCCTGCAGGATGCTGTAAATCAGTCTGGCAGAGTTTCCATAAGTCGGATCATCAGCGTCTGTCGCTACCACCGTCACCACTGACATACCTGTACAGAAGTTATTAAATATACATCTTTATTTAATAAACTGAGGGGATTACACTATTTCTTTATCAGCTGCTGCTACTGTTCCTCAATTGATTAAACTTGGTTAAACATGTAACAACATCTAAAAATGATTGATGATAGAAAAAATATAGAATATTTCTGTGAATACTCTTACTTTCAACATATGCTGCAAATGAATGTACGAAACTAATGGAAAATCAATAAAAATTGTTGAATTGAGATAAGTCAGGCTGTTTTGTGCTTGTTCTCTCTAACGATTCACTGCTGATATAATTAACATTAAGCTTATGAAACTTTAGCTTCTGGACGACAGTGTTTCTCGCATTACACACGGTTTATATCATACTTATTTACAGTTTTTCTTGATTGTTTACACACATTTTCTGAAAGCATGCCTCATTACTCTCAGAACTCTACACACAAATCTAAAAACACACACACAATGGGCAAAACCCCTCAATTCTCCTGCAAAATGAAACTTTACATTCAAAACAATGTTATTTCTTCTCAAAATGGTATTTTGTTTTCAAAATGACACACACAAAAACCACATTATGAATAGACATTTTATAAGGAACCAGTTGAACACTGATGTGGCTGCAATGTTAAAACACTATGATGAATGGAAAAAACCCTTTTCGTCTCCATTCATCATAACATGACTTTAGGCTTTTTTTGTTTCAGTGTTACACTTTACTACAGACAGTTACATACCATAAGTTGTGTTAGTAAAATATTTGAGAATATTGTTTCATACTCAGAACACACCAAATACACGGTAACATATTTTTATTTTCCCAACAAAAACAATGTACAACAGTGTACATCCCAACCAACACCCAGTTGCACATACAGTGTGTAACATACAAAACACCAGAAAGAATTGTTACATTACCAGTAACTAAAAAAACTAATGCTGCATTCTCGTTTCGGTTTTTCACAGCACCTTCATCCAACATCACAAGCATGTTTTTCCCTGGCCAAGCAGCGGGTGAAATATCGCCAAGCATTGGCAAATCCAGCCATTGAAAAGCATCAACTGCTATTTCTCAATTGCATTTCTTCCCATAGCTTGGAAAGGTAATGCAATTAACCCTAAACCCTAACCTGACACCAAACATCTATCCGGTCAGAATTTTCTGACCAGGCTTCTCCTTAGGGTGTCTGCATTCACAAGCTCAGGTGCACGCAATGACCAACCAGGGAGAATTGGTGGACTGGTACCTTATACCACCAAAACCCAGACGAATAGACTCACAAAAGACGCTTTCGCTTGGAATCTGAGTCCAAAAACCACAAGAATACCCAGGTCTGGGTTTTGGAACTAAAAAACATTAATGGGGTTCCACTGATTACACCACCAAAATGGAGGGGTTGGAACTCTTCTCTTAATATTGTTTGATTGACATTAGAGTTCAAATTTATAAACAAACAAATATTTGAAAGTTAAAAACAAAAATAAAAAAATACAATTTATTAAACAAAAAAATATATAACTAATGTCAAAAATTTGGAGTTATTTTATTTCATTTATAATTGGGGGAGAAGCCCAAGAAGGCGCGTCCTTTTGTAGTTTTCTTCCCTTTTTTTTCTCTTCTTCCCCTGCTCTGATCCTAGTGGGTCTGCTTTCTCCCCTGTCTCTTTTGGTTGATCTTTGTTTGGGTTATTTATTTGTGGTGTTCAACTTCAATCTCTAACTTCCCCTTCCTTTCCTAAACCTAAGACTTCTCACCCCTTAAGCCGGCCTTGACCTTGTGACCCTCACAACTAATATTAAAGGTTTAGAGCCTCTGACCCCTAAGGACAGCCTGCTTCCATGTACGTTGTCAGTCTTGGACACAAGTACATATAGCATATCTTGGTTCTTACTAATAATAATAGATTTACTAATTTCATTTACAGGACTTAATATTAATTCAGATTGTTGTATGCTTTAAATTTTAGTATATTGATCATTAATTAATATATATACAAGGAATGTTTTAGGATTAATATTACATGTAAATCTCTCAATCAGAAACAGACATATATAGAAGACCAAATAAATATAATGTAGATTTAAATAGGTCCAGCGCAGTATCTATGTATATATGGTAGATCAACTCCATAACTTCATGATTTTATTTTTGATCAGTTAAAGTAATCGATATTCTCTAAAATAAGTAAACTATTATATATTTTCTATTATATGAACCTAGTTGATTATTTTAATTGTTACACGCCCAATACGTATGTGGTATCTTCATTTCAAACATGGCGAATATGGAATGTTTGAGAAGTAGTAACACAAATTGAAGTAATTATATCAAAGAATATGCCAGAATATATATTTAGATAAATAACTTCCGGTAAGGCGGAAGCTACGAAGATATGATACTAGAAATAATTCAACTCATATCCATAATTGATTCCACTCTACGATTATAACTGGCAGAGAATATCTATCCCAGTTGCAGTTATCAGGTGAATAAGTGTGAGTAGGGATAATACCTAAGAAAGTGAGGAAAATTTGATGAGTAGATGAGCTCGTGCATTAGTGCAACTTTTCTTGCTTCTGACAACGAGAGGGCAGACAACATCTGCCAGTCACAAGCAAAATTGAATTAACTCTTAACTTTTCGAACTCACGAGATTTTTCAATAATTATCAATTTGTGCTAATCCATTGAAGAGATGTATGGTCTAAATTTAAGGTTGAAGGCGTTGCGTCGAGCAGGCAAGAACATTCATTCAAGTGGGAGATGAATATACTTGTAATAAAATCAAATCTTAAAAATTTTTACTTTTAGGGCTTAAGACACTTTCTGATAGTCTACGTCATTTTATAGGTTAATCATCTAGGAGTTTTGTATAATCTTTGAGTGGAAAATATTTATTTTATATATTTCTAGATCTTAGATCTTTACTTTGAGAATTTGACATAATAGCTATAGAAAATTAAATAAATACAAACTGTAAATACTACATATACATGATTTAATTATTCAGCCGCGCATACAATGGCCTATCAGCAGTTGGGGATTCAGTGTATGGTCTAAGTGGGCACCAATAGTTGTATATGTAAATAGTAGCGTTAAAGCTTAATAGAAATGTTGAATCGATAACAGAATTGTCAATCATATATATTTATTTCACTTAATTAATACAACAAGCTTCTATTTGGAGCCAAATCAGAGGACTTCAAGGTGTAGGGAATTGAATAATGAGAGGCTGGTGATCTTCATAACATATTATACACGGATACCTTAT